GGTCCGTCGAGACGTTTATGGAAATAGTTGGGAATTCGCCCGTCTCTGTGGACGACCAGCACCGGCAACGCCAGCCATACCAGAATCAGGTAGTCGGAAAAAAATGGCTTCGCCCACGCGAATCGAGTAGAGGGTCAGCAGGGACTTCGGCTGAAACGGTTTTGACACCGAAAGGGTCGACAATATGATCATCAGGAACACCTTCGGTCCCGCCAGGGTTGCATACTTGATTGCCGGCCACCTCGCCACTTTGAGGCGAATCAAGGTCAGAGGGGACGTTAACAGACACGGTAGCGATATCGACCGGATCAACGGGGTGATCATCAGGAACATCTTCGTTTTCGACAAGGTGGTGTGCTTGATCGCCGGTCATCACGCCACTGCAATGAGAGTCAAGGTCCACGGGAGCGACAATGGGTAGAGCTGCAAAGTCAGCCGAGTCAACGGATGGTCAGTTGCAGCACTTTCGGTTTCGGCTGGAACGTGTCCGGAGTCATCAGAAAGCGTGCCAACAAAGGCGAAACAAAATTATAAAGAACAACAGTGTTGGCGGTAGAGTCAAGTCCATGACCAGCACTAGCTTCACAACCAAGGACGGGGATGGACGATCACAATGAGACTGACTGAGGGGAATTGTACCCGAAGTCAGAGGTTGACGAGAGGTGGGGCGCTTTGGAGGCGGCAATTATCCAAGTCGATCGAATGAAAAAGGTGCGATAATTTAGCGTAACATACAAGTAAAAAGTTGCTCAGTTATGTTGACATCAATTGGCGATTATTAGATCATGGGACGGGTGGGGTGAATTGTTCGGGAAATTTTTTGACCATTCGCATCTTGCCACAATATGGGTACACATGGGACCTATTACGATGGCGTTGGTACGGACCGCCGGAAATTTCCAACCGTAAAAAAAGGAAGTGTCGGGTCTTGACCATCAATCGCGGTCACTGTATGTGGTCGTCGGTCACGATCACTGCAGATGAATAGCAATCAAAGTTACGGTTGGTACCCATCGGTTACGATCACCCACTGCGGCCATTTTACCATGCTGGGGGTTGAGGTGGACCACTTCAAGGTTAAGGAATGGTGGAAGGGACGAACGACGGAACAGAAAACTGAGATACAGAGAAGCGGAAGCGTAATTTTAGCTCCTAATAGGTTAATAACGAACAGTATTGACTTTTCTATTAAAAACACGCACCAGCATACGTCCGGAATGAATAACTGTTGGCCACTCGACATTTAAGGTTTACTGCTTCACGTGTTCGCTCAAAGTATGTCCCTAGATTGCTTGGATAGGGACGAAGATACTCATTCAATTTATCATACAATCGGACGCGGCACGCGTAAAAAGGCAAGAGCTTCAGACGGCTCACTTTATCAGAAGAACCAGGTACCCAGTAGTCAAAAGAACAAGAGGATCAAGTATCCATATTCGGCAAGACAACCTCAAGGAAGTTCAGGGCGACATTGGGAGAGCGTCACAAGTAACCTTTGGTCATGTGAAGAATTTGACACGCGACCACACTCAACATATCCCTGACTCGGTCAAGACAGACCTGAAGCCACCCAGAAGAGTGCAACACGTCCGCTGACGGGTACACAAGGTGAGAGGGAACAAGAAAAGACAAACAGTCCAGGATGCCCCTTCCGTTAGTCGGTCGGTCGTTCGGGCGACAATGGGGGGGTTGGGATCGCTGTCGTAAAGTGATTGAATCCATCTTGATCACACAAACAATAAATGTAGTGCAAGGAATACTATTATCCTTTTTGTAGTGTCAACGCTACTTAAGGCGGAGGATATACAACCAAAAAAATCTAGATAGATCACTCTCGTATTAAAGCGTCAAAATTATTATAATAATGGTGTTACCGCTCTACACTCTTCCGATCTTCGATTCATCGCGAATTGCTCAACCATTTTCATTTCATTCTAAAACTGTTGATAGGTGCGCTGTCGTTGCATAAATGATTGGTCGGCGTCACTTACAAATGTCGATGAACGGACGAGTAGCGATAATTTTTTATAGCGTGGAAAGGTGTACAATAAATTCAAGAATTTTTTTTAGTGGACGACATTTTTACTTCATTGATATTACAAACACAAATTTTAACTGCATGTTTCTACGCGCTAATCGTCGCCACAAAAATATTTCCATGGCGTATTTACCACAATTATAGCAACTTATCAAGTTGTTGTACTTAATATCAATTAATTCGTTTGCATGCATCTAGCGGATAGTCTATCTTTATACAACCGTATTTTACCATCATAAAGACAAGAAATATTCTTGATGCCTTCTCGAGCGCACTTTGGGTGGGTAAATATTGTCAGCGGCTGGGCATTCCGTTCTTCAATGAAATGGTATAGCTTTGTAGCGGTGACTCTATGCGCAGGCACCACTTGCTTGTTATCTTGAAAGGCTTTGGATGCAGCTTTCTTCGCACTCAGTTTGTCAAGTAACCACCCCTCCAAATATATCTCGCATTAAATGTTTGTGGTAATACGGATGCTGTTCTTGCACCATAGCACACGTTCTTGCTGAAAATTGCGCAGCTTGTACTTATTAACTATCTGTCGGGATTTGGATGAATATGCACTTTGCAGTTATAAAAAACGCCAATTAAATTTAGAGATAAAATTTTAATTGCACTTGAGGTCTATGACCGACAGCGATCGAGGAGATCAAGAGCGTTTGCAAGTTTTTCGCAATACGCATAGACGTGGAGAGGACGAAGCGTACAACATCGACCAACTAGATGTAATGATGTCCCCCTCCGTACTCACGGCATGCAGGATGTCAATTCAATTTTAGCACTTATTCGCGACGACTACTAGGAGGTACTGCATGCTCAAGCAGTGGCGCTACGATCAAGTCGTTCTAGTCGTAGGAAGCCGGCTTTGTGTCACACAACGTTGAGGCAGGACATTGCATTCGCTGTCCATAATGTTACTCGGCAGATCTACGCGCCGCGACTCCACGATTTAAAACCCGCGAAGCGCATCGCGCGTTACATAGATGGTACATCTGAAATTAATCTCGTGATGGCGCCGGCGCATATAGTCGCGCCGCGCAAGGTTCCGTACTTACAGCAACGCAGACTTTGCCTTCGACAAAGTGAAACTCAACTCGCTGATGGCACAATTCGTTCATTTAAATGTCAAGATCGGCATTTAGCTGTCTTCATGCTGATGCACGTGAATAACCAGGCAGCTAGATCGACAGAGAGTCGTCAAGCCTACGGGAAAAGAACATCGACGCGCAGCCCAAGTTCGTCAGTAATTTCGAGCGCCGGTGCGTCGCGTAGGCGCAGTACATCCATTTGGAGATCATGCTTGTGTATCCATGACCAAGGCAATATGAGCGTCAAATCTCGCGCTGTTGTAAGGCCTGAAGCAGGTCGCCTGGGGGTGTGTATGCGCGAAAAGGATAAAGTCAGGGATTACCTGTGACGAGAGAGGCTTGACGCAACGTACGTAGCGTGAGGAAGCTTAACTTTGGTGGCACTCAAGAGAGGAGTGCTGGATAATGAAACTTTGACATTTGACGCTTTTGTGCAAAGCGCGAGTTTTCGTCATGCTCGCCGGTATATAGGGCCTGGTGACACTGACTAACTAATAAAAGAGGATTGTTGGCAGCAATACTTATGATGCTGAGGTAGTACTTTTGTCTACTTTTAAATGCCACGTAATCTTTCCTACATTGTACAGAAGGTCCGTTGGCATAAAATAAAGATAATGACAATGTCTAGTACGTATGAAAACTATGATGCAGATGCTAGTATTAGCATCGCAGGTTACGCGCATAAATGTATATCGCAAATTGACTAATCTAAAAAAACTCTTTGCAAAAGTGACAACTTTATCACTTTCCACTCTAAAGTTTACGTTCACGACAATTCAGCGGCATCATTAGCTTGAGCTTAACCGGTGGCCAGCCGGGACATACGTTTCATAACGCATTTGGTTTAATGCTTTAGGTTCGATAACTGTTGGGGTAGTTGGATGTAAAAGCCGAAGTGAATATATTTAAGGTCCTTAGTTCACTACCCTTAGCTAAGTCTAAGCCTAAATGTAACGACATCCTGTGATCTCATCATATTACCGCGATCCATAACCTTCTTCCGTAATAACCACCATGAAACACCCTGACACAGAAATCATCACCATGAACCCAACATGAAACGACTGCATGAAGCGGCGTATTCTCAACACTCCCACTCGCCGCTACTGCTTGGTTTCTTTGCACTGGATACTGTTTGCATCGCGCAGGAACTTGAACGTCTTGGATCCTAGCGCCTTGGTCAGTATGTCGGCCAATTGATGTTTGGTGTCCACATACGCTACCGCAACCGTCCCGTCTTCGATCGTCTCTCTGATGAAGTGATGACGGATGTCCACATGCTTGGTCCGAGCATGATAACCAGTTTTCTGAGCCAAAGCAATTGCGCCTTGATTGTCCTCCCAGATCTTAGTAGCGTTTCTTTGTACCACTCCCATGTCCGTCAGCATCACACGCGTCCACAGTACTTCTTGCACGCATAGGCTTAGGGCCATATACTCAGCTTCCGCTGAGCTGAGGGCAACCGTTCGTTGAACTTAGACTTGAACACCACGGAAGCGTTCCCAATCATGATCATAACACCCGAGACAGAACGCCTGTCGTCGAGGTTGGAACCCCAGTCCGCATCCGAGTAGGCTTCAGCTGTGACGCTGCCAGTACCACCTTTGTAGATGATCCCGTGCTGGCGAGTCGTCTTTAAATAGCGTAGAACACGTATAGCAGCGTTCCAATGCTGCGCCCCGGGATTCTCCAGGAAACGAAAAAGTTGCGTTACCACGAATGAAATGTCCGGGCGAGTACACGTCGTGATATACAGTAGGCATCCAATCAAGGAATGGTAAGGTCTTGATTGCATCTTGCTTCATTCTGCATCCGATGCTGGCGATTGCGACTTTGACAACTTTAGACCGGTTGCACGCGGGTTGTCCACCGTCCTAGCGTTTTCTTGCCCAAAACCGGTTCGCCACATCATCGATGTATCGCGTTTGATTGATCATAAGCGTTCCAGAAGTCATGTCATGGTCGATCTCCATTCCCAGAATAAACTTCGCCGGTCCAAGCTCTTTCATCTTGAAGGCATTTTTGAGTGCGTCCTTCACGTCACTAATTTTATCACTAGTCTTTGCCGCAATGATCATATCACCGACGTAATGGCAGACCTTAATAAAACTGTTCTTGGAGCGCTTGACATAGATGCATTGGTCCGCACCACAGCTTTTTTGAAACCGTAGTTGAGAAATACACGATGAATGGTCTTGTTCCAGGCACTTGCAGCTTGCTTCAATCCATAAATGGCCTTGTTCAGCTGGCACACGTATCCCTGGGGGTTCTCAGCTCCTAGAGGTACCTCCATGTAGACACGGTCCTCCAACTCACTGTTAAAAAACGCTGTATCAGCGTCCAACTGTTCCATCTCGTATGCGTAAGCAGCGCAGACGGAGAGCACAACTCGAATCGAGTTCATGCTTGCCACTGGAAAGTACGTTTTAAAGAAGTCCACTTCGTATTTCTGCTTGAAATCTTTCGCCACCAATCGCGCTTTGAATCGCACCACGCGACCGTTCTAGTCACGCTTCTTGGCGATAACCCACCTGCATCCAATGGTACGGATGGCTGTTTTTCTTGGAACCAATGACTAGGTATTGTTCCGTTTATGTGAGAGCAGTTCAGCCTCCATGGCTTCACGACACTGCGTAGCATCTTTACTGTCGATTGCCTGAGCGTACGTTGTAGAAAGATCGTCAATGCTTGCCGCGTACGCAAGAACAGCTTCAGCAATGAGGCCATCTTCATCGATCCTGACACGCTTTGGAGAGGACGGTCCACCATTTCCTTCCGATTTCCGTTCTTCCTCGGCGTCTGTCCCATCTTCAAGAAGGAACACGGGCTCACGAGGTCGTCTGTAACGGTTTATCGGGGTATGGAACACCACTCGATCTTCCTCGAAGCTAGTAGGTGGTTTACGGTACGATTCCAGCTCAATTCCAGTCGGAGCTGACCTTTCTTGTGGCATCAGCAGCGGCGGTATAGCGTCCTGTATCGGTTGCATGCTCTCCATCTCTACATCCGGTGCGTTGTTCTCAACGCCTTCCATAGGTTCCGCTTCGACGGGTTGAAGTTCCACTGGTGCGAGCGTGACTTCATCATCGGCGTCTGTGCTAACATGAATAACTGTTTCGATCTGAGCAGGTAGTGTATCGTAAATACCACCCACCTCACGCTTGTCCAGCTTTACTGAGCGACACACTTTGATATTGAAAGCGTCCAAGTCATAGACACGGTAACCCTTGAAGTTTTCTGTGCATCCAAGCAGCAGACACCTAAAGCTCTTAGGTTCAAGCTTCGTCCTCTTTGCCTTGTCTATATGGGCGTAGCCGCGAGAACCAAATACGCGTAAGTGGTCTAATGTAGGCTTTACTTTAAAACCCAGCTCAAACGGTGTCACAGTTGCGTTTTGCGTGTTCGTGGAACGGTTGATCAGATATACCGCAGTATTGACTGCTTCAGCCCACCACTCCATTGAAACGCCCTTGTAGTGTAGCATACTTCGAGATTTCTCCATGATGGTACGGATCATCCGTTCTGCCACTCCATTCTGCTGAGGGTTATACGGGAAAGTCCGTTGGTGCACGATACCGTTCAGCATACATATCTTCGTCATCTCTTGGTTGACAAACTCCGTTCCGTTATCCGATCGTAAACACTTCATGCGCTCTCCCCATTGATTCTCATAGAAAGTCATGAACTCTCTAAGCTTAATGGCCACCTCGCTCTTCTTTTTCAAGAAATAGGCCACAACGTAGCGCGAGTAGTCGTCCACGAACGGCAGGACATACTTGGCACCACCTTTCGAAGGAATATTCATTGGTCCCATCATATCCGTGTGGACGAGCTCAAGAACGCGCGACGTCTTCGAGCTGGAAAAATGCGGAAATTTAGCCACCGTTTGCTTCCCCTTCATGCATCCGCCGCACAAAGACTGGGGCGGTTGACCAACAGCCGGAATACCGTTCGTGGCATGCCTTGTCTTATCCAGAGCATCCTGGTTTGGATGCCCCATGCGAGCGTGCCAAAGCTCCCACTTGCTGCCAGCCTCGGCGTACTGAATGAATCGAGCTCCTTCTTGTTCACATTTAAATATGTACGCCTTGCCCACCTTCTTACCCTTTGCAATTGCGCTAGCCGTGCCCCATATAACACATGAGGATCGCTAAAACTCCACGTTCAGCGAGCTTTCCCACTGACAATAGACGCCGATCAAAGCCCGGGATGTGAAGAACTTCAACCATCATAATCCGTTTACAGTCCAGTCCAATCAAGCGTACCGTACCACAGCCAGTGACCTACAGCTTCTTTCCGTCAGCGGTTGTTACTTCGATGCCACCATTCACGTTCTCATACTCGAACAGATCGGAACGGTGCGGGGTCATGTGGGCGGTCGCGCCGCTGTCGATCAACCATCCGTTTACACGTTCTGTGCTCGCAACAAATACCGCATCGCCGTCTGTTGTTCCCTCTTGACAGTCCCGCTTCATGTGCCCAACTTTGTTGCACTTGAAACACTTGCCTGGAAACCATTAGCGTTTTTCTTCTGATCGCTCCACTTGCGACCGTTCCCCTTGTTGCCCTTGAATCGTCCAGTGTTAACCTTGAACGCTCGTTCTGGAGTCGTGTCTTTTCTCTCCAACCGTTCACACTCCTTCAACAGCTTCTCTTTCACCTCGATGAGCGTGATGTCCTTGACGTTCTCTATGAGAATCAATGGGGAGAGCGCATGAAGTGTTTACAATCGGATAACGGAACGGAGTTTGTGAACCAAGAGATGACGAAGATATGTATGCTGAATGGTATCGTGCATCAACGGACTGTCCTGTATAGTCCTCAGCAGAATGGAGTGGCAGAACGGATGAACCGTACCATCATGGAGAAATCTCGAAGTATGCTACACTACAAGGGCGTTTCAATGGAGTGGTGGGCTGAAGCAGTCGATACTGCGGTATATCTAATCAACCGTTCCACGAACACGCACAACGCAACCGTAACACCGTTTGAGCTAGGTTTCAAAGTGAAACCTACGCTAGATCACCTACGCGTATTTGGTTCTCGCTGATCGACGATATCAGCTCGTATTCGGCTGGAAGGCTGCTCAGCAGCACTACTAGCTGCCGTGCCTCGTCGACGGGCTCTCCAAGCGTCTGAAGACCGACAACGAGCTCGTCGAAAGCGTCCAAATGCTTAGCCATGGCCGTTTCAGCATCCATCTTGAATTCGTGGAGGCGCCGTGTCATCGTGACCCGATTGTGGAGTGTAGTGCGATTGTAGAACTCCCTAAGTGTTACCCACGCTTGAATCGCACGCGTAGATGAGCGTATCTTTGTCTGTTGTTGTGGCTCCACACCCTGCGATATGAAGCCGAGTACCTTCGCGTCGTTCACTAGCCAAGCTTTGTTATCTCGCTCTCCTCCTTGACCACCTCCATGTGCGCCAGCAGACCTTTTCTGGCGAGGGTCATCCTCATATTCACTCTTAGTGGAGATAATTTCCACTTCCCAGAAGGACTTCGGCGCGCTTGGTACTCATCATGTGCGAGGCGAGGCGTTCTTGGTCTTGACGCCGCTGTACGAGTTGCGGCTGTTAACCTGTTGGGGTAGTTGGATGTAAAAGCCGAAGTGAATATATTTAAGGTCCTTAGTTCACTACCCTTAGCTAAGTCTAAGCCTTAATGTAACGACATCCTGTGATCTCATCATGTAACCGCGATCCATAACCTTCTTCCGTAATAACCACCATGAAACACCCTGACACAGAAATCATCACCATGAACCCAACATGAAACGACTGCACGAAGCGGCGTATTCTCAACATTAACCAATCTATGCTGGTTGATTAAATAAAACATAGTTGAACTGGCGCACACGGAGTGACAACGCATCAGTTTTGAAGAGGATGTAGATTCGTTAAAAAATGGTTGGTAGGCTAGGCATAGGCTGTTTAGTCTTGGGCTTGTAGCTCTACGTAGCCTATTTCTTTCGCGTACCAGCTCACACTTGATGCTCATGCATGACCGTATGCAAACCCAAGATTGCAATAGGACACTATTTTAAGGACCGCAATACGCGCTGTTCATGCTCTGTAAGTCGGAATATCCTGTTGCTAACTACTCTTTGAGCAACATAAGAATGCTAATATTAGTCTACATCATTCATGCGCGTGCCTGCTCCGTAGAACTCAGCTGAATTCTTAGCCAGGTATGGTGCCTGTCATACCGTGCAAGCACGTACTCTTTGTAGCAATCGTCTTTAATTATATATTCTAAGTAGTGTAGCTACACAGTTCTTAGTCAGAAGAAGACTCTAAAAGTCACTTAGTTCTACGGAACTAAGTGACTTTTAGTTTATAGAGTCTTTAGCTCTTAGAACTACTCAACGAAGACTCGGAGACTCTTCTGGCTCGTTGGGCTCCCAGTCCTGGTTCAAGGGAGTAATAACAACTATAAGAATCGTACGCAATGTGCTCTAGAGTATACGCCACAACCTGTCTGTTACTCTTAACATTCTACTGGTGTCTAAATCAGACATGTGTCGATCGAAGATAAAAAAGGCAGCTGAGCTTTTATATCTTAGTTTAATGTGTGATAAATCTCATTTAATTACCCATTCCTAAAGTCAAAGTACTTCGCATAGCTAATCACTTCGATATGTTACAGATTAATGGATGGCACATCAATCTGTCATCAATAGATGACTGAGGTTATCAGCCACATCAATTATCACAGAGGAGACTTGGGATTGTATAACACATATACAAGGTAAATCTCGTTAGGGCGGTAACTGTCGTGTGACCCTGTTACCCTCCTGCACATGAAGTATCGATGATCAGCCCAAAAGAAATACGTCTGACAACAATGATGATTCCTGGTGATACAAACGAAAGAGCTAAAAGTGGTCAACTGGGCAAGGCCTTCAAGGATTCGCGTGGCCGTCTGAGCCTTTCACAACATAGGTGGGAAAAAGTCATGCTTGTTGTTGTACGATCAGAATGCGACATGCGCAACCACAAATGCACGATAGTAAGACAGGTGTGAAAGCGTCAGTTCCGCGCGCTCACGACGACTGAAGTCGATGTTGCAGTCTGAAGTTTTGCGGTGGTATCTGCGTACAAGCTAAATGCTCGCACAAATGTCAGATTTCTCACTCATTCCGGAGCGCAAAACTGCGATTGAACAGCCTAGACTTCTCGACAACGACCTGTGTTCGTGACGCGTGTCGTGCTGTAACGCCGCTGTGCCTTTTTAACGGTTTGACGGCAGCTCCAGGAACGTTGCTCTGCGCTGAACACACGTATGTGGCCCGCATATCAACAAGGGTCCGTGCGTGCTTGAAAGTCATGTGTAAGAAGGCAGTTTGACGTATGAGCAAAGCAACCACACACGAGAGTGCTCTATGCAGAATCTTTAACGATCGGCACATCCGCACGTCCCTACATCAGGCGATCACGAACGCGCATGATGAAATGTCGCGACACAGTACTGCGATTTACGTGTCATGCAGCTCTTTTACTATTCAAATACCACATGGCGAAAAAGAGCGAAAATGTCCAAAAACAGACGGCACAGTCACAAATTCTCGCTTTATAGTACGTTTTTTCACGAATGAGGTAGAGAGACGACGTAGGTGTCGTACCAACGCCGTATGTAAGTCCGTCGATCGATTTGCATCGATGTAAAACTTGCTATTCCTCCTATTCTATAGTGTTTGAATACCCTGGTTATCGCAGCTTCGTAGTGCTTATAACAAACCAGGCTATCGATAAGCTAACGGTGGAACTACTTGAACCGCATGTCGTAAACTCTGTGGTGGTTTTTGCGCAGCGTGTAACACTGACTACAGCACGAGTTTCCTCCAAGTGTTTCCCCAGCTTCCGTGCACGTACGCGATCGAACGGTCTCGTTCTCAAACGTCTATAGCTCGATCACCGATAGCCTATGACGTCGAGCTGCACATAGAGTCGCCCTCTAGTCGACAACTCCATAGCCTTCCTTCTGGATGCAATCGCATGCTGCAGCCCACAACCCCACGAAAATCGGTAGAGATACAGCTGAAGGGATTCCTCATCATCAGTCATTCCGAATTGTCTCTCCTTCGCAACAAGCTCATCCTCGACATCGACCCTCGTGTAGTATGACCAACACCTTCTTCTGTAAGACTGCGGCTTTAGTGGCGACACTACTTGCTTCTGCCAACGCAGGATTAGAGACCGTGAAGCTTAAGAACCCGTCCGGCTCCACTGCCGAGGTGTACCTCTTTGGTGCTCACGTCAAGTCTTTCCGTGCCGCTATGGATCCCAATCTCGATATCCTGTTCATGTCGAACGAGTCATTCTTGAACGGTATTGATCCCATCCGCGGTGGCATCCCTGTCGTCTACCCCAACTTTGGCGGTCGGGACAAGCACCCGAACCACGGGTTTGCTCGCATCACCAACTGGACCCTGGTCAGCCACGAGGATGCAAAGGACAAGAAGAGCCCAAGCGTAGCCACTTTCACGATGGCGTCGAGCGACTCGACCCGTGCCATTTGGCCCGTGGAGTTTGAGCTCACGTACGTCGTGAAGCTGTATGCGAACCAGCTCAAGACGGCTCTGCACGTGCGCAACACGTTTGACGAGGCGATTGACTTCCACGCACTGCTGCACAACTACCTGTGGGTGGACGATGCCCGCAACAAGGGCGTGCAGGTGAAAGGGCTCAAGGGCGTCGACTACTTTGACAAGGTGGACAAGACGAACAAGACCGAGACCCGGGAGTTCATTGACTTTGCGGCACAGACGGACAACGTCTACCGAAACGCACCAGACCTCATATCTGCCACGATTAAGGGCGTCAACGCTATTGACCGCACGGTCACGGTCGAAAAAGCGGGTTGTATCAGTGGCGCGACCATTCAGGAGGCGAAACCTCGGGTGAAAGCAGGCATAAACCTGGACTCAGACACCTGTCAGAACGGCGTCAAAACCGAGACGGACTGTGTCGTGTGGAACCCGTGGAAAGAGCGTGCCAAGGAGATGAAGGACTTTGGGGACGAAGAGTACAAGCACATGGTGGCGATTGAGCCGGGACGTGTGAGCGAGCTGCAAGTTCTGCCTGCGGGCCAGACCTACACGTTGCAGCAGACCATTTCGGTATACACGCTGTAAGGGATGCTGTAAGGTGCAGGGGTGTCCATGCTGTGTCGCTCTTTTTCTGAATGGTTTGGGACGTGCCACAAAATTAGTCTGAATAGACGACCTGAATGTTGAGTGCAAACACGTTTTTTTTGCCTCGTGTCCATCGCCATCGAAAACCGTTTACATGAGACGTCTGCTTCATTTGTGTGGTGCGAGTAGAAGTACCGGTTCACTCGTCCGATACCGAAGTCGCATGACTGCTTGAAAGTAGTGCAGAAAAAAAATAGGATGTCACGCACTTCTTCCATGATTTCTCGAATATTTCAGCCAATGGTCAGTCGTATTTATCGTACTCTTTGTTTTTACAGCTTGTAGTAAAAAGTAACGCTTGTCCACGGAACTCCCTCAAGTCAGTGACGATGGCAGTTTTACCTGTGGGAATGCAGCTAGTGAACGCTCTTGACGACGTTAAATTTGATGGTATCGAGCCAATTGGCAACATAGGGGCTACAGCTTCTGAACACATGCGACATGAATTGCAACTGCCGCTGAAACGCAACGATGTGGCACTGGACGTCGAGTTGGACACCGACACGTTTAGTAGCGACTCGGGCGATGTCTCGTTTGGCTCCGGATTTTATCCTGGTGCGTAAAATACGATCACGTGTATAGTGATCAGTCATTTATTTTGGTCCGTATACACGTACCACTATATTTATCTATCTATTTGTCAGTCGAGGTCGACTGCCCACTCAATTTTTTTGGCTTGAGAAAAAAGGAAGATTCATCTTTATTTGTGGTTTGTTTTATCTGACGCTGTTAAATTTATACAACAGCGCTAGGTGACGTTGGGCAGAAGGATAGCATACAGATGCGATTGTGTGGCACGGAAGAAGCACTTTTGCACGACCACGATCATGACTTGACGCCAGGGCAGCGGTGTCAATGTCGGGCCTTTGCTATGCAAGTTCATGACGCTTTGGTATGCACTTGTGAAAAGGTAGATATAAGTAAAAGTATATTACATTCCGCATAGACCATTCTCCTTTGTCGATAATACAACATCTACCGCAACTGCACTAAAACTGGACCATGTACTTGCCTGATAGTATCCGTCTTTCTTC